TACAATGGAATATAATTGCTACCATAGAACAAGAACATAAACTTTAAAAATGTACCCAGGGTAGGGGCAGGGAGAAAAGACATCATGATACATGCTCTTTTAAAGATTTTATTTGGAATGAATTACATAAACTGCCATATTTCAAAGACTGGGCTTCATTATCTATTGATAGTATAATAAAACTATGTAAAAATGTTCTGCTAGGGAGTTCTACTTATTAGATGTAAAAATCTTCCTCATACAATCTAAATAAATTTGTCTTCTACCATCCTTTTGATGAAGAACTACTTCTGGTGTTGGTGAGATTGTAAACTAGTTCAACCATTATGGAAAACAGTATGGCGATTCCTCAAGGATCTAGAACTAGAAATACCATATGACCCAGCCATCCCATTACTGGGTATATATCCAAAGGATTATAAATCATGCTGCTATAAAGACACATGCACACATATGTTTATTGCGGCACTATTCACAATAGCAAAGACTTGGAATCAACCCAAATGTCCATCAGTGACAGACTGGATTAAGAAAATGTGGCATATATACACCATGGAATGCTATGCAGCCATAAAAAAGGATGAATTTGTGTCCTTTGTAGGGACATGGATGCAGCTGGAAACCATCATTCTCAGCAAACTATGGCAAGAACAGAAAACCAAACACCGCATGTTCTCACTCATAGGTGGGAACTGAACAATGAGATCACTTGGACTTGGGAAGGGGAACATCATACACTGGGGTCTATCACGGGGAGCGGGAAGGGGGAGGGATTGCATTAGGAGTTATACCTGATGTAAATGACGAGTTGATGGGTGCTGACGAGTTGATGGGTGCAGCACGCCAACATGGCACAAGTATACATATGTAACAAACCTACATGTTATGTACATGTACCCTAGAACTTAAAGTATAATAATAAAAAAAAAAGTAAAAATTAAAATGAATTCTGGTAAATTATATATTCACCTCACACCCTAACGTGACACTGGTAAATTTACCTGTTTATCTAGAGAATTATAACCAACATCAGTATAGGTAAACACAATGTATCTTTCAAGTAAGCAAGTTTCCTAATGCAATTTTATTTTAAAAGGAACACTTAAAAATTGTAAGTATATCTTCAAGAAGCTTTACTGTTGGTTACTGGCCACTTTTTAGAAAACTGTCTGCAGACAATTTCATTCCTGAGGTAGACAGATTCTACTAACACTATTTTCTTGAAATGTAGATAGTGTTTGTTCCTTTAAAAAAATTTTTTCGTTATTTCTAAAGTACATTTAACTCAGCAATTAAAGTTGAAGGTATAAGGTGAAAAACATTGAAATCTAGTACTAAAAATATAAGTGAAGATTAGTAATTAAAATATAATTATTACAACATGATAAACATTAAAAAATCAGGGATTGAGATTTTTCTCTTTTCTAATGAAGAGATAATGAAGCTAATTACTAAACAGACTAGTTTTCAGTTTTATGCTAACTAAAATGTAACAGGCCCACTTTCATTGGCAATGTTATTTTAATTACATTAAACTAGCTTGCTTTTAAACAGATGTTTATATGTTATAATTCAAGCAGAATTAAGGAAAGAAAGGCATTCTGAATTCTGTGCTAGGTAGAAGAGTGAGGAGGAAAAGTGGGTTAACTGATGAGCTTCTATTTTCCAGTCCAGTGGTTCTCAATGTGTGTTCCTGGACCAGCAGCATCTATATCACCTGGAAACTTGGTAGAAATGCAAATTCTCAGGTATTAACCCCAGATCGACAGAATCAGAAGCTCCGTGGGTAGGGTCCATCAATCTGTGCTCAACTAAACCTCCAGGAGATTATAAAGCCCACTCAAGGATCAGAACCACTGCTCCAGCCTATAAATCCATGTCCTTTCATCACTCCCTTAACCATGGCACTGCACGTATTTTCCCCTAGTGTTCACACTTGTAAGAGGATTAATATCCAGAAGATAGTGCCCAAAAGTTCCAAAATGCATTAAGGAAAGAAGATAGAGGAGTTTAAAAGGAAAAAAAAAAGTTAAGCAAATGCATGCACATGCATGTGTACATGTACACACATATAACACAGGGAAGTCAGTGGCAGAGAGAAGACAGAAAAGGCAATGGCAACTAGGGCTGTATGCAGCTGGGAATACAACGCTGCACTCAAAGGAAACTCAAAACAGTTTCAGATGAGAAGGACAACGAATCCTATAAATTTACAAGCATTTAAAATTAAAAGCACCTTACAGCAATAATAACATGTCAGCTACAAGAGCTATAGTTACTGGTAACATTTAGCAAAAGGTCAAATAAAGTCCAATTCATTCTCATGTAAGTAATAAATACCTCATGAAGGTATGCACACACACATGCAAGGAAAATCCTGCCCCACTGTTAATACAGTTAAACTTTTTGTACTGTGGCCCATATAATAGTGGTGATCTTCTCAAATGGAGGTCCTCACTTCTCCAGAGCTGACTGTCGACTACTTTAAATTCCAGGGCTGGTTATTCCCCCAACTCTTATAAGCTATTTAATCCTGAAGCTGGTGCGCGGCTATACACAATCTTGTTTTCTATGAAAATGATCTTATGAAAAAGAAAAAAAAGTTTTCCTCTTTTACTTTATGCTTACAAGAAGGCAGCTAAAGTTTTAAAAATCACTTTAAAGAAGCCAAGGAAACCAAACAGAAGCATATGAGATGAAAGCACTTACTGAAGATAGGCATTTGAAAAGCCAGGCTCTAATCCAAGTTAGTCACAAGTCCAGCCACAAGGCAAATGTTAACAAAGGCCTCTGACTTTGCATGGTTTCTTAGAATATTCCATATATTGTATAAAATACACAATGGAATTCACACAACATTAACTGTGTATAAATTAACAAAATTACTATGTGGCATTTTATATGCAATAATTCAAAAATTAACAAGCAAAATAATCTGATTTACAACACAGATATTTCTCCAAGTAACCAAATCAAAGCTTTTAAAGCTCCAATATTTTGAGTTCTTGCCAAAGGAAAGCAAACAGAGTTTCCAAGGAACCAGCGATTTCAGGGGTTCTTGTAACTAGGAACAAGTTCATGATAATCAGCAAGCAGGAAAAAAAAGGAGGACAGGTTTACAATCTCTCTAAAAAGAAGTCTCACCTTGCTACCAATCTATCCCACATTTCATTTCTAAATAGCGAAATGAAGGTTATTAAAGCAGCCAGCAGCTTTTGCAATGGCCTATATTTGAAACTAGGAAGACTGCATCTTAACTGTATGAAGGAAAGTGATATTAGCTCTTGTCCAGTTGCTTTTGATAAAAGGTGCTCTGGTTCAGTCTCTGTGATTACAAACCTATCCCAGAGCACCTGTAAACAATGGCATATTTTTCAGAGGGTTCCTAGTCAGAATAATCCCTGCAGAATTATCATGCAACAAAAAGGAGAAAACTGAGGCATCAAAAGAAATGAACTTATCATTTATGTTGAAGAAACAAACAACTGATCTTTGACAAACCTGACAAAAACAAGAAATGGGGAAAGGATTCCCTATTTAATAAATGGTGCTGCGAAAACTGGCTAGCCATATGTAGAGAGCTGAAACTGGATCCCTTCCTTACACTTTATACAAAAATTAATTCAAGATGGATTAAAGACTTAAATGTTGGACCTAAAACCATAAAAATCCTAGAAGAAAACCTAGGCGATACCATTCAGGACACAGGCATGGGCAAGGACTTCATGACTAAAACACCAAAAGCAATGGCAACAAAAGCCAAAACAGACAAACGGGATCTAATTAAACTAAAGAGCTTTGGCATGGCAAAAGAAACTACCATCAGAGTGAACACGCAACCTACAGAATAGGAGAAAATTTTTGCAATCTACCCATCTGACAAAGGGCTAATATCCAGAATCTACAAAGAACTCAGACAAATGTACAAGAGAAAAACAACCCCATCAAAAAGTGGGCAAAGGATATGAACAGACACTTCTCAAAAGAAGACATTTATGCAGCCAACAGATACATGAAAAAATGCTCATCATCACTGGTCATCAGAGAAATGCAAATCAAAACCACAATGAGATACCATCTCACACCAGTTAGAATGGCGATCCTTAAAAAGTCAGGAAACAACAGGTGCTGGAGAGGATGTGGAGAAATAGGAACACTTTTACACTATTGGTAGGAGTGTAAACCAGTTCAACCATTGTAGAAGACAGTGTGGTGATTCCTCAAGGATCTAGAACTAGAAATACCATTTGACCCAGCAATCCCATTACTGGATATATATCCAAAGGATTATAAATCACGCTGCTATAAAGACACATGCACACATATGTTTACTGCGGCACTATTCACAATAGCAAAGATGTACAACCAACCCAAATTTCCATCAATGATAGACTGCATTAAGAAAATGTGGTACATACACACCATGGAATACTATGCAGCAGCCATAAAAAAGGATGAGTTCATGTCCTTTGCAGGGACATGGAAGCTGGAAACCATCATTCTCAGCAAACTATCACAAGGACAGAAAACCAAACACTGCATGTTCTCACTCATAGGTGGGAACTGAACAATGACAACACTTGGACACAGGGCGGGGAACATCACACACCACACCCTGTTAGGGGTGGGGGGTTGGGGGAGAGATAGCATTAGGAGAAATACCTAATGTAAATGATGAGTTGGTGGGTGCAGCAAACTAACATGGCACATGTATACCTATGTATCAAAACTGCATGTTGTGCACATGTACCCTAGAACTTAAAGTATAATAAAAAAACAAATAAATAAAAAGCTATAACCTGATATGAACAGTTTACATACAATTAATTTGGCACAATTTAAAAACCAATATCATAGGTAGCATTAAAGATTTGAATTCAGAATGAAAAATATATTTATCCTTTATTCACTGACTTGAAAGACTGCACTTCTTTCACTTACTCTGCTCTCTTTTAATAGATGAAAACAAAAGGAAAAGAGAACTTGCTATAAGGACCTACGTTTTGGCTGTGACATCCACATACTGTCCTGGACGAAAGTGAGCAGCATAAAGAGGAGTGCCTTTATGAAAAGAAAATGAAAAATCAATATGAAATTTGACAGCACAGAAACAACTTTATGCAACATAAACTATATCCAGGAAGGCTTTGAGCTATCTGATTTCAAAATGGTAAAAGATTCTCTTCTGCAATTAGAAACATCCAAACAACGAAATTATTCAACAAACATGTCTTTTGACTGACTTCACAGAGACCAAAAGTGGTGCTGTTTGAAATGAGTGATTCCCATGACAACACAGTGTTCTTGCTGTCAAACACATAAATTTGATGATTCTTGGTTGTTTTAGTGAATAACTGTATATTAAATTAAGATATATTTCTTGTTTTCACATTGGGAAAACAAAAAGAATAACTAAAAATTGTTGGGGCTTCATTAAATATCTTGTACCCACTGGACAAACAGGAAAACAATTACTTGAACCCAAGTCCCTCATATGGTGGGTATGTATGACATCTATACAAAGCCTCTACATATCAGATTTTGGGTGAACTCCTCATTGTACCAATAAAACACAGTTCTCTAGTTCATGCTTAGATATTTAGAATAGCAAAAAACTGCCTTTATAGATACTCTTAATTTTATATAGAAACGTTTACAAAACCAGTTGTATGTAAATAAAGTCTTACTTTAAATGTACTTTGGAAACGTTATTTTAAAAGTTTTTAAATTTTGTGATGAATCAAAGCCCTTCATAATATTGTTTACATAAACTTGAAACTAACATTGACGAGAACTATTTGGCAATTAATTAGCAAACATTTACAGGGCACTTACAAATACGTGCAGCTAGAAATTCAAGAATGTAAGACACGGCCCCTGACAGCAAGACATTTATTATCTTGGTAAAGAATAAACATTAACATCATCAAGTAAGATATACTTTTTTAAATGGCAGAAACCACTGTAGTAGAGAATGTGACTGAAAGTTTATTATAGTTATAGTTTATTTAATACAAGCAGCAAAGTGCTGTAGGATTTCGGGGGGGACCTCCTTTAAGTTACAACCCAACCTGGATTTACATAGGCAGAGAAAAACGTTGAATGAAGAAAATAGAGATTTAATCATTCCACACTGTCTACATATTATCAAAACATCACACTGCATCCCATAAATGTATATAATTATGTCAATCAAAATAGTATTAATTTTTTAAAAAGAAATTAAAAGTGACCTTTTATGAGGTTGAACTGCTGATTTTTGACCATTTTGGATGCCAAAAAACAATTTTATATGATTTGAGCTACAGCAAAAGTTAATGTGGGCTTACTTTTATCTTTATCATAGAGTTTAAGAAAGTTAGATGTGTTAATACCAAAGAGAATATTAAAAAGTGCTTCAGAACTGTCTATACAACAAATATTTTAGAACTATCCCTTTATATTTAAAGTAGTTCCATTATAAACCATTCTAATACACAATGACCCAAGTACCTCTACTAATTTTTATATTTAATTCCATTTACCTTGCCTTAAAATTGCAAAATTTTAACTTCAAAGAATACTTTTAATTCTACCTTATATCAAGGCTGACCATGTCACACGAATAAAAGCCTACTGCAACTGTATTTTACTTAAAGCAGTTTAGTTCAGATATTAAATACCAAATCCTAAAACAGCATTCTACTGTCCTCTTGTCAGAACTCAAGTTCAGAGATCAGGGAGCTTTTCTGAAGTTCAGACATCAAAATGTTATATTTTGCTAACCATATGAGCCAATATAATCATATGCCAAATCTTTACTCTTTGACATTTCATGGATTAGGAAAAATATCTTGGAATTTTTAAGTAAGAATCTTTACATTGAGGTGCTATGGTCAGTCCCTTCCATTGTTATATTTTCTCCAGTTCTTCTATCTAAGCAAGAGCCTGGCTATTTTTCATGAATGCCAGCCTATGACCAATGATCTTTGAATTTTAAAAGTTACCGTATTTCTTTGAGGTGGCTTTTTCAAATGTTAAACTCTCTCTATATTAAAAACAAAAGTGTTCCTCTCTCACAGAAAGCAAAGAGTTCTCTACAGGTTTTTCCACTTAAAAAAAAAAGGCTTGTTTGTTCCTAGTGATTAAATCAGATACAGTTTTGTATTTAAAAGTAAGTGAGACTTTGCATTTTAGATGTAGCTTTATTGAAAGGGCTGACATTAAACAAATTGCATATTTGGGTATTTTTACCTCCCTCCTCTCCCCGACCTCAAATTACCTGGTTTAATTGCAGCATTATCTGTTATATTAAAGATTTTAACTGTCTGTTTTGGCGGCAATCCAAGTTCTCGGTAAAATTCCAATACGGGTGTAGCTTTCTAGAGGAAAAACAGCACATACAAGTAATACATTGAATACTCAAAGTGGAATTGAATGCATAGAGATCTAAATCGAGTTATTAGCACCCCAGAAAATAAATCAAAGCATACTTTATTCCTTAATGAACAAAGGGCACCCAATTCCCCTTATTTAAGGGAGGTGAGATTTATAGCTATATTTTATCACATCTCTGTGAATAATCTTACTACTTAGATTCCAACCATGTACATAGTGTTCACATATAGTACACTGGGAAAGACCTCTGTTCTGCAGGAAAACAAAGAGTTGTGCTCATTTTTAAATTCTGACCAGAGACTGACTGAATTAAGAACCCAAACCCCAAAAAATCAACTCTCTGCCTATTCTGCACTTATTCTGAACTGGAAGAAAACACGGTATGTTACATTTAAATGTTATGACCACCAACTTCAGAATCTCAAATGTGGCCAGGTTATATCTACAGATACCTAAACATCTCTGGTTAAATCATTTTCACACTCTATAAGGAAACTAAGTCACATCCTTTTCTAAAATCCTCACCACTGTTTCCTCTTCCTCCCTTTGAGCTGATCAAATAAAAGAATTAAGAGAACTTCTCCATGCTCTTACCAAATCAAATTGTCTATACCAGTACTTGTATATTAACAGTAGTATCCTCCCACCCCACTCTAGGTTACCCATGAGATGCACATGGAGAGCTTCTAGAAAATGCCAATGGCAAGGGCCCTCTGCTTAGAGATTATAACTTCACTGTCTAGTGTGGGGTCTAGGCATTGCTCATTTTCAAGCACCTCACATGATTTCTATGTCAAATTGGGGCTGGAAATCATGCTGATAGATAAGCTGTCCATATTTTTATTAAAAGCAACAATTCCCACCCCTTCGTACCTATTCAATGGTTCCCTCCTGAGACTGTCCCCACTCTCTTCTAAGAAATCTTCATTTTTCTACCCTTTCTACTGGAACTTCCTATCACTATATATAACATGTCACAAAAATTCACATATTAAAACCAACTTTTTCTTGACCACATATTCTTTAGCTAATTTTTCTGTTCCCCCTTACAGCAAAGCTCCTGGAAAGACTTGCCAAGTCTACTTTCTCTCCTCCCATTCTGTGAACCCAGTTTAATCAGGCGCTTTCAGCCCCTAGAACTCAATGGAAAGTGCTTATCATTCACCAAGGATCTCCATACAGTCAACCACACTGGTTGATACTCATTTTACTGAATCTACCAGCAATGCTTAACACAGGTGACCACTCTCTCCACAAAACACTTTCTCTTGGCTTCCAGTTACTACTCCCTCGATTCTCATATATGTGAATGACTGCACATTTCTAACTTCAATTCCAAATTCTACTCTGAACTATAAATTCCTATGTCCAACTGCCAAGCCATTATCTCCAATGTGATATAGAAACTTAAGCTTAACGTGTCTAAAACTGAACTCCCTTAACCAAGCCTGCCCTTCCCTGGCCTTCGTCCAAATCTCAATTAAAAAGGTAACTCCCACAATGCTGCTGTTTAGGCCAAAAATCTTATAGTCACCCTTGATTCTTTTCTTCTTCATATTTCACGTCCCATTCATCAGCAATTCCTCCAGACTATTTAAAAATACAGCCCACACCAACCACTTTCCACCCCATCCCAAGGTCAACCTCATCCACTATCTTCTGCCTGGATTATTTCAATAGCCTCCTAACTGGTCTCCAACATTCCACACTCCTGACTCTCTAGTCTGTTCTCAATTCACAGGCTGGCATTATCATTTTAAAACTCAAGCCATATCATATATCTACAGTGGCTTCTACTTCTTGCAGAATCCAGTCCCAAGTCCTTACCATAGTTTAAAAGGTTCTACACAATCTGACCTCATCTTTTACTCTCCTCCTGACTCAGCCTGCTTCAGAAAAAAATGCACTCCCTTATTGGCCCAAGAACACATTACACACTGGCCTCAAGACCTTTGCACATCCTATTGCCTCTGTCTAGAATGCTTTTCTGCCATATTTTTGCATGACTGGCTCCCTTACTTATTCAGGTAGCCATAAGAATATCAACTTACCTTGTCTAATTACTCAATCTGAAATAGCACCATTTTTTGTCACTTATCAACCCCTCAGCCTACTTTTATTTTATTAAAGTATATTATTTTTATTAATACCAGTTATTTAAGCATACCAGGAAGCTTCCGAGAAAAATCCTTTACATTTTTAGTATTATCCTTCAAAGCATTTATCTCCATGTGTTATGATACACATTTTTTACTGTTTCTGTGTCTTCTATGATAGCAGTACCTAACCTTTTCGGTACCAGGGACTGGTTTCACGGAAGACCATTTTTCCACAGATCAGTGGAGGCAGCAGGAGGGATGGTTTCAGAATGAAAACTGTTCCACCTCAGATTATCAGGCATTGGAGTCTCATAAGGAGCATGCAACCTAGATCCCTCACATGCACAGCTCACAAGAGGGTTTGTGCTCCGTAAGAATCTAATGCTGCCACTGATCTGACTGACAGGAGGTAGAGCTCAGGTGGTAACTAATGCTCACTCTCCTGCCGTTCACCTCCTGCTGTGCAGTCCAGTTCCTAACAGGCCACAGAGCAGTCCACAGTCCGGGGGTTGGGGATCCCTGTTCTATGTAAGGACCTCCCCATTTCACCCCCAAACCTACCCAAATGTAAGCTTCTTGAAAGCAGACACTTGCTTTAGTTGCTGCTATATCCCCAGCTCCTGGTAGATCCTGCTGTCTGCTCTCCACTCCTGCCTTCTGTCCTGCTATTGTAAACATCACTACAACCAGTGTCATTAAAAACAAAACCTATAGACATCTTATTTTCTTGTAACTCCTGGGTCTTCCCCCCCACCTTAATTCTTAAGACTCGATATAGATTGCTATAGGACTTACAAAAAAGTTATGCCACTTTTTATTTCCTGATGTGAAGAGGGCCTCTTTCATTACAATATACAACATAGTACATCTATTTTCCTGCTGTTCCCTCTCCCTCAACTTTCCAACCATAAATGAAGACCCTGCAGGCCCCCAATGGCTATTGTACTCTATGTATGCTTACCTGTATCTGTCTGCACCACTCTCTTCAGCTGTGATCTCCTCCCTACCCTGCATCTCTAAAGCTTCAAAGCTGAGGAAGAGGGAACAGCAGGTAGATGTATCCGCGTTGGTTTTATTCTGGCGAAGAGGCACTCTTCACACTGGGAAATATAAGTACATGTCTCCAGTACTAAATTCAGTTATATTTCCTATCCAGATCCCTCTCTGAGCAGCCTTACCAGAGCACATTGCTCCTTTGTCTATACCAACACTAGACACTGGAATATATCTCAATTATTGTCCATATCACCAAACACTTATCTACTCAAATGTTGGTCAGCATGCTGACCTGTGAGCACCGCGATGGTAAACGCCGTTTTTATTCATCTGTGTCTCTAACTTTACAGCTAAGCACAGTGGCAGGTTAGACAATAAAGAAGTGGGCTAAATGAACAATGAAAAGAAACAGAAGATAAATGACAGGCATCCATCTGGGTATAAAGTTTGCCTAACTCCTCCCACTTTTCTACTCTTCTGCTGCATCAGTTCTTGGAACACAACGTTACTGTGTTTGTGGCCTCAATCTTCAGTTCTAGTTACTGTAAAAGTACAGGCCTAAAAGATACATCATGACTTGCTCTGAGGATGAACAAATCAGCAAGAAACTACTATAAAACCAAACCAATAGTAACTTATAATTTAAAAAACAAGAATAGCAGCAACTGAAAAACCCTAATCAACTCAAGATGACACTGATAATAACAAAGTATCCTTCCCCGAAATTCCAATGAAGTGCCTGCATAGTCAGACTTGTTTGTAGAATATATGAATACTCAGCAAACTTTAGTTACCTGTTCAGTTTAAAATGTAAACCGTTAGTACCCCTTTATAACTTACTCAGTTGCCTATCGTTGACATGAAATTGGGTGGCACTGGCTTGTAAGCACAGAAGTTTAATTTTTGGATCAGTCTACAACTTACTAGGAATCTCCCTGGAGCTCTCCAGTAGAGCCATACAACAAATGCTGAGAAGCTCTACTTTGATGTCCACTGAAGACTGTTTTATACCTTATAGAGTTCTCTCAAGAAGCTATCCTTTCCTCCACAAGAGTGATACCACAAATTCATTCCAATCATTCTCTATTATTTTATTTCCTACATGCTGAAATTAACACTAACAACCAACACCACTATTATCAAGTACCCTGCTTTTCATCTTCAATCATACTCACTTCTGCAACAAGTACAAACACAAAATTTTCATTTAACAGTATGGTTCCCTGAAATTATTTTCCTGATGTATAAAATTCAGATTAATTAAATTTTAGAATCAAGTTTATTTTTGACATTCACATATTCCACATGATTTTAAAAGCATATTATTTTGTTAATGTCAGCTTTTTAAGCATATCTGGAAGTTTCTGAGGAAAATCCTTTACTATTTTAGTAATACAAAACAGACAATGTAAACATCTCAACCTAAGTAACTTTGTAGACTAAACCATAAATAGAACTAAAGTAAAACATACTTCTTGATTATCATCCAATTTCACTAATAAACACTTTTTTATTTTAAAATAAAAAATCAAAATATTATAAAATTAGGTCTCAGTCAGGAGGAAAACCAAATGCTGAAGTAGACTTAAAACCAGAAGCAGTGTGAAAGACTTTTTTTTTTCAAATTTCTAAATAAGTAAATGATTTCAAAAGGCAATTTAAAAGACTGACAGTATTGTCACACTTGGATAATCCCATCTATGAGGTTGCATTCTTTTCCCCCACTTCAAAGTTCTCTGCAATTATCCTTCCCACAATGAAAATACCTCTCCTCCTAAGATGAATTGATTTAATCAATGTTGAAGGCCATTTAACTTCCTCATTCAAAAACACTATGTACCGCATCAGTTTTTATTTATAATAAGGTACAAAATAAAAAGGCAACATAGTCTAATTTCTGGGAGGCATAAATTCTTTACAGATGAAAAGAAAACAGTTCTAACACTATTATAAATAAAAGTGATTTAATTAATTTCCAAATGTTTAGATATATGAAATTTTATATTCATAGGTCTTCATTTTTTAAAAAATCCTCTAAAATCAATCTATTTGCAATTTTTCTTGAGAGCTATAATATGAAGTCTGTATACATTTAGTTTCAAAAATCTTTGTTTTCAAACAAAAATGCTGTATTTACAAATAATTCTAAAACTTCATTTCCACATTTCATTTTGAAGAAAGGTCAGTTTATAGACAAAGCTTTTTTCTTGATATTGTAATAAATGTCATCTGGACTTAGAAATTTTGTATCTTGAAGAAATTTTGTATCTTGAAGAAAGAAGGGCCTTTGCAGTACTTTCTATGCTAGAGAAGTGAAGTTTTCAAAGTTTATGTAAATTAAGTGGGTCAAAATCCAGAACATTAGAACATAACATCCAAATCACCCTGCTGTGCTATGTAACCACTGAAGAGAATAAAGCTATCGGAATAAGCTAAAGAGAAAAAAATGTGTGAACAGCCTCGACTATGAAATGCAGTACCTATCATTTCTGTAATATTTTTAATTATTAGTACTGTTACAGTAATACTATTAGTATTACTTTCATAAAATTTTGATTATAACACATCTTCATCACTAAGTAAAATAGAATAAATTGAGCTCCCATGTACTTTTTTTCTCCAAACTTTTTTTTTCTTGAGAAGTAAAATATTCCGAGAACCAATGTGAGACTTTCAGAACTGGAAGAGAATTTAGAGACCATCAAGTACTATTCCTTGTTTTTATGGGTAAGAAAACAGATGTTCAAAAGGCGAGTAAGGGGGACCTAAAGGTAGAAATCAGGATTAGAACTCAACTCTTCTGATCCCACATCACTTATTCTCTCGCCACCTCATATTTCAGGGGAAGCAATCTTCACAGACCTGCTGGGGCAGAAGGGATTACCCTAGCATGCTTGATTTACAAATATCAAGGCCATGAAGTCATCAATCTACAAAACTGGTAATGAAAATGAAGATGATGACGCTAGTCATTACAAAAACCCAGAAGTACAATCAAGTAGAAAACAGTGGCATCTATCAAACCAAAGATTTACTCATATGAAGGCTGGTACATATTAATACATTTTTAAAAAGTCAAACACTTGATTTTTTTAAAAAGTTCCCATAAATATCTCATTGTACGCTATAATTACTATGGAGTTATTTGAAGCCCGAGTCTGTTAGTCAATAAATTGTTAAAAATAGCAGGAGAGATATTATTACAAAGTTGTAAAGAAAAATAAATGGTCTATGCTACCATAATACTCAAAAATAGCTAACTTCTCTAACACGAAACAAAATAAACCATGTCACAGATTTCAATGATATCCACCACCACTTATTGACTAATCAGTATTTCTCACCATTTATAGAACTATGATTTTGTGAACATCTCAAACATCTCTTTCCTCCAAAGCTTCCCTCTTCCTTGTTCCTATCCCAGAGTATGTCATCAGCACTGACCTACCTGTGTCCTCCCACCCAGTCCTTTCCAATTCCTGCCCCTTCCAATCTCAATGCAACTGCCTTGCTTCTAAAGGCTCTTATCAACTCTCCCCTGATCTCTTAAAACAATCTCCTAAAGTCTTTCCTCCTGCTAGATTTTTAAAATCTTAGATAATTAATTTAACAATTTGAACAAGTTACCTAAAGAATTCAGAAAGCACCTCAAAGTCCATAGGATGAAGTCTAAACCTCACACTACCTTGATGGCTGCAGCTTCACCACCCTCCCCACGCTGGCCTGGCCTGCACACTAAAATGCAGCCACATTACACTTCTCTTCCCAAGAACACATGCTCTTCCATGTTGTCTCTGCTTCTGCAGAGGCCATTCTTTCTGGAATGCCTCCAACACCTATTTTCCTTTCTATTCTCCTCCTTGTGAAACCTCCTGGGATTTTCCCTGGCAGAATTGGCTGTCTCTGGTTCTGTGCTCCTTGGACTTATAATATTGTACTGAGATGGCTGGTTTATTTGTGTAACTTCCTCACTAGCTTATGCGCTCCCAGGGGGCAGATATCAAGACACACTTAAATAAGGCTCTGGAGTCTGTCACTCTACCTCTTACCAGTGGGTGACTTTGAATGAGTTAGTTAACTGCGTTAGCCTCAGAGGCTGAAAAGTTTACATAAAGTAACAAATGAAAAAGGCGTAATGCTTATGCATGTGGCATGTAATAAATGTTCAATAAAAGTTAACTATGATAAGAAAATAGAGTAGTTAGTAGGCACACAATAAACAACTGATAGTTTTGAGAGTCAGAGATTATAGGTTGTATCCTAACTTCTGCCTTGTTCATTTCATAAACAATTTACAATGGAAAAAAAGTTTGTCTTAGAGATAAGTAATATGTTCTAGTAAACCTAAACATGTTTAGTGAAAGCCATCACCATTTTGAGAAAGGTTTTCTGGTTTTAGTTATTCAATACAGATACTCACTAGGCAGTTTTCCAAACTATAAACTCAGTACTCTACTTAAAAAAAAAAAATGTTTTATTAAAAAAATGTGATTTGGGTTCTTATATAGCTTTCTCCTAAACACTGAAAGCTCCTTCTAGAATACACAAAATTAATTTCCACGTGCTCCTGGTGTCAAGTGTTAAGACAACTTTCCATAGGAAGAAAGTGAAATGAAACATAAAACAATAGCAAAATAACAAAATCTACTGAGTGTCTGTTATATTCCAGGCACATTTGAAAAACCTAATTTAATCCATGTGATAAACCTATTAGGTAAGTAGTATTTTTATTCCCATTGTACAGATATACAAACACTACAGCTTACAGAGGTAAAAGTACTTGTTCCAGATACAGGGGGAGGTATTAGAACAAACTCAAGAGTCTCCAAGACTCCTGGGAAAAATGGTTGTACCAGACTGCCTCCCCCAAATACACAACTTTCCTCACAAACAAATGCAAGTTTGTGGCTGTGGAACAATCTCAAAACATAAACTCATCCAGATTTGAAACTGATGAAAAATGCAGTATTCTAGCTATGAAAATACATCCTTACACGAAAACGTGATACAGTTTTTCCTCCTACAGACAGGGCTGCCGTTTTTCCATTATGGTTTTCCTTTGAAGTATACTTTAGGACATGGCAGTCTTGTACCTAAAAAAACAAACATAAAAAAACTAAGCATGTGCCAATACATATTTTAACATTGCAAACCAGCCACATTGAGACCTTAGGACAAACAGGAATTCCCTACAGTTACTTACCTCATCTTTCCTCTAACACCAACCACAATCTCAAAAACATAAAATTTTTTTTAAAAAAATGATTAAATACACACTTTGGGAGGCCGAGGCAGGCAGATCACGAGGTCAGGAGATCGAGACCATCCTGGCTAACACGGTGAAACCCCATCTCTACTAAAAATACAAAAAATTAGCCAGGCGTGGTGGGGGGGCGCCTGTAGTCCCAGCAACTTGGGAGGCTAAAGCAGGAGAATGGCGAGAAGCTGGGAGGCGGAGCTTGCAGTAAGCCAAGATTGCACCACTGCACTCCAGCCTGGGCAACAGAGCGAGACTCCATCTCAAAAAAATAAAAAATAAAATGAGTTTAAACAAAATATACATGCAACCACTACCCAGCTCAAAAGTAGAATCCCAAAAGCCCGTGTGTGTCTCTTCCCAGTCACCTCCTCATCTTTTTACTCTAGAGCAGGAGTACTCGAAAATATGGTCACCAGCCAAGCAGTGTCAGGATCCCCTGGGAACTTTTAATACAGATGCAGATTCTCAGGCCTCAATCCAGACCTACTGAATCAGAATCTTTGTGTTTTATAAGACCTCTACGTGATTCTGAGGTTCACTAAAGTTTGAGAAGCACTGCCCTAGAAATAACTGTTGACATTTATGGTAGCCATTTACTTTTCATTGTAATTACTATTTTGGAAAGTATTGCTTAACAATGTATTTAGATTTGCCTGCTTTAAACTTTATATAAATGGAATCAGATTTTAGGTACTCTTCCATGTCTTACTTCACTTATTTGTAAGGTTCATCTTTATTGTGTGTAGCTCTATTCTGTTCACTTTCATTGCTGTACAACATTTCATTATGTGAAAATAACATGATTTGTTTACCTGTTCTACTGTGGACAGAGACTTGGGTTATTTCTAGTTTGCTGGGATTAAGTGTGATGATGCTGCTCAAGTTTTCTAGTAATACTTGGAAGCGGAATTGCTAGACTACAAGGCTTACCCGTCTTAATTTTGCCACATAATGCTAAAGTGTTTTCCAAAATGGTTTTGTACCAATTTACAATCCCACCAGCCATTCCTGAAAGTCCCCTGCCCCCACCAGTTTCCTCAGAGTTCACAAAACTACCGTCTTATACTTGGTCATTCAGAGCCAATAATAATGAGAAAAGGATCTATAGACTCTTTGTGCCTTATTAGCACTCTAAGCACTTAGATGCATGAGCTCGTACTTTACATCACCTGTATCATTACTTGCCTAAGACTAAGCCCCAAGGATCAACTGAGTTGTTCAAAGTGATTTGGGGAGTGATGATCACTTACCAGTATCTTTCTATAATAATAATAATAACAACAACAATAATAATGATAAAGACAATAGTAGCTTATAGTGGACACACAACATTGTTTCAAGTGCCTGACATTTATCATCTTGTGCAATCTACACAATAACCCTTTGAGGTAGGTCACAATTATTTCTTTTACAGAATAGAGTATCTTTTACCGATGAGGCACAGTGCTCCAAGAACACACTAGTAAGTGGCAGAATCAGGACTGCAACTCAGGTATTCTGGTCTCAGGACCCACATTCTTACCCATTAGACTACAGCTTATCTTAGTGAACAAAATGCAGCCTCACCAGACAAGAGTATTATATTCTGTTAGCAAAAAGATCAAAACTGTAATTTGGAGTTGAAAGAATTCCATAAAAGAAAACAAAATGGGACTGAGATGTTTTTCCGATTATAAAGTAAACAAGGGGATCTGTAAAAGGATAGGTTATACTTAAAAAAAGAAATTCATTGTTCTGGTTATCCAAATACCAGTATCAGAAGGCCATTGCTCAGGCAAGGGTGAGGGCATTCCTGAAACCACCATAAGTTCTTTAATACTATTTATGTTCAACATTACCCCTTTCTTCACCATACAGTTCCATGTTTCAGGATACAAATAGTTCTTGTTAAGGTTTGCACAAACAGCTCTTGAAACACATAGATATCTCTTACACCTTCTGTTTCTTTCTTACCTGAAGTAATGTGACCACGTGCTTTTCACCATCCTTGGTCCATAAAGGCATCATGCCCAGTTTCAAGGCAATAAGGCCAACTCTAAAGGAACCTGGCAATTAAAACCAAAGCAATGTGAATTAAAGCTTTTGCAACGCTCGCCAACATGATGAAATCGTTTTTCCTAAAGTCAAGTTTCAGTATGAGGAGCAGGCACAAAAGAAATATGCCAATATATTCAGAGTAAAATAGGACTGTTCTTTACAGACCTAAGTGCCTTCAACCATGCCTGGCATGACATATTGGGGCTCAATAAATATTTGTAAAATGAACAAACATAAATACATGAAATAAAGAAAATACATAAGTTAGATATATTCTGGTTTTAAAATAATGGCATTCATACAGGGCATGATAAATCCATCATTTTGCTTTCCTAGTATCAATTCTTACCCAACTTTATTCATTAGAAAACATCTATTACTCAGACTCTGAGAAGATAGCTGAGGCTATAGAGATGTCAAAACTGGTCATATATTGCTAAAATATGTACGTCTACAACAAGACACTTAGATTCTTTGCATAAACTGGTAAAGTTGCCTCATTCAGAAGTTCTGATAACCAATTCAACTGTCACAATAAACCCTAACCAGGGACCACACACTTAATAGAAAAGGCCTTATTCCTCTTGGTCTGGCCACACATGGGTTTAGCATCTTTCTAGACACCAAGAGGTGATTCAGGGATTATGCTTTCCAAATCTACAGTGCTACAACATCCCAACTGAACATCCATGCAACACATTACAACTTATATCACACTCTTCCAGCCTTTCTTTCCTGACTTATATTCTTTTTAGCTGAAGTAAACAAGAGAATGTATGCAGAATGATTCTCCCTTCACCTATAAAACAGCTTCTCAAGGAGGTCTTTATTATCATCAGGCATTCACTAAAACTAGACTAGGAGGTTGGAAATAAACTTGCAAAACAAACCACAATAAAACAGACAGACACAGCACATGAAAAATAAATTAAAGAAATGATAAATTTATCAAGCAGTCACTATGATTTTAAATGTGTCCAGCCACACAGCAATTAGGAAAAGAGAGCTCATCAAATACAAAATAATCACCTGGTTCCCAAGGATGTATAGGCCATGGTTCATCTTTCAGAGGACATAGTTTACTTGCTAATTGGGCTTTATCTTCATCAGAGACCAACTGCTTAATGAATGGGACATTTTCTTCAGAAAGATGCTCATCCCACCACGTACCACTCTTTCCATGAATACTTCTAACAAAAAGCCAGATGTGTGTTCTATAAAAAGAAAAAATAAAACCAAACCACAATTTTAAAACTTCCTCCATTTAATATAGAAAAGGGAAGTCACAAATTGGAAAGTGCAGTCAGGGCCTTAGGAAAGGGCTTAGATTCTGTATACTTTTTTTTCATGTCTCCAACCTTTTCTTCATCCCCACATTCCTTCGGATAAGGCTCACATTTAAACTGTTTGTCGTTACCCTGGAGAAAAAAAATTCATTTTCTCCTCGCAGATAAACAGATTCCCTAACCCATTTGGACGTGTACCTTAATAGTTATACATTCAGTGGAGGTGGCAGAAGGTGGCATGCTGATGTTTGTCTAATAAGCTCACCTCCTCCCTGCAATAGCATGGCCTAGGTTCAGGGAAGTAAAGAAACTGGGTGTGCAAAGTTAAAAGATCCACAAAAGGCATGATCTCTGAACAGGTGCAGTACCAAGAAAGACCTTAGTGGGTGGAGGTCAGGAAGAAGGGGTGTAATTCTTGCATGGAGGGTCAGAACAGAAGTAAAGCTTTCTGCAGTCTACTCTCCTTTTGTAGTCAGGTAAATTCAGGTTAGATTCCCAATTTTCTACTTATTAGTTGAGTGACTTTGAGCAAATTAACTCACCTCTCTAACCTTCAGTTTTAACTGTAATCTTTATGATAGTAGTTTGCTCCCGTGAGGCTACATAAGGCACCTCATACACTTAGCAGAGCGCTCAGTACCTGGCAAACGCTCAGTAATTGTAAGATATCATTGCTGTTAATAGCGTTCGCTGCTAGGGGCTGGCTCATAAGCGTTTTTAAAAAACCACCACTTTAATCCCCTTACAACGTGCTTCCTTAGGTTAACGGCCCTTATTCTTCTGTGTCCCACGTCTGAACAGAGCCCCTTCCTCCTGCACCCACGGGAGGCCCAACTGCACCAGGCCATTCCACTGCTCCAGGACGCGGCTGTGCAAGCAGGACACCCTCACACCTTCCTACCTGTTCCCTGGGCCAAAGGCAGCACCCAGGCCGTCCCCGACTCGACCCAGCACCTGGGCGCCGACCTGGGTCAGCAGCCTCCAACCCGGCATGGATTAGCCCGGGAAGACTCGACTCACGACTTCCGGGCGCCCCGCCGCTCTGCTTTCAGAGCGTCCCCACGCCACCGCCACGTGGACGCAGCAGCCGTGGGGAAGTCGTCGCAAGGGTCGCCGGAACGGTCTACGGCCGTTTGCCCTCCGCGACGGAAAGAAAGCCGCCGGACCCACTTCCGGTGCGTTTTACAATGAACTCCGGGCACTGGAATCGCTCCCAGGAAACTATAGTTCCGCTTCCACCGTTGTCCTGCTTTGGATTTGAGTTGGAGTAGGTACGGGTGGGCGGGGACTGAGTCGCCTCCCCAGGGGTAAAATAAAGGGGATGTTCAGAGTTTAAACTTTAGAATAATAAGGACAGACTTCCTGAGGACGCTAAGAAAAATGAAAACACTTCTATATAGTGCCCGTTGTGGGACAACTCATTATGCTAAGCAGCGCTTGATAATCTTATATTTGTTAATCATAAAAAACGGTCCTGAAAGGAAGTAGTTATTTTTGTATCATAAATGAGGAAACTAACTCAGAATTTAAGTGCTGGTCCGAAACAACACATCTGGCAGAGAAGCAGAGTTGGCACTGAAACAGGGTTGGCATGTGTTAGCAATAGACTACAGCCATAGAAATGATGTATGACTTCCAGGGCTGGATCATAAAATATATTGTTACTTCAGTTTTTGTCTCTTGGATTGCTCCCTATGGAGAAAGCTAGCCGTCATTTCCTGTATACACTCAAACAGCTCTGCAGTGAGGAACATATAAAGAAGAACCAACTAGCCAGTCATGACTGAGCCACCTAGGAAGTGGATCCACCAGCCCTAGGCTGCAACTCGTGAAGACATTAAGCCTGAATCACCCAGCCAGGCAACTCAAGAATTCCTGACCAGGCATTGGCCGGGCGCGGTGGCTCAAGCCTGTAATCCCAGCACTTTGGGAGGCCGAGGCGGGTGGATCACGAGGTCAGGAGATCGAGACTATCCTGGCTAACACGGTGAAACCCCGTCTCTACTAAAAATACAAAAAAATAGCCGGGCGTGGTGGCGGGCCCCTGTAGTCTCAGGTACTCGGGAGGCTGAGGCGGGAGAATGGCATGAACCCGGGAGGCGGAGCTTGCAGTGAGCCGAGATCACGCCACTGCACTCCAGCCTGGGAGACACAGCGAGACTCCGTCTCAAAAAAAAAAAAAAAAAAAAAAAAGAATTCCTGACCAGGAGAAATTGCCAGAGAAAATAAATGTTTTTTGAAGTCATTAAGCTTTAGGGTAATTTGTGATGCAGCAATAGATAGCTAATGCACCTTCTCTACAAACAGTCCCCTGTCCTGGGTTCCAGATACAGCCTAATCACCATCTATGTGACTAGGACATTTATTCTTCTACTAATTCCCTTATTTGTCAGATTACTGTTTGTAGAAATTTGGAAATAAGCACTTTAAAGTGTAGCTATTTCAACCTTCTCTTTTTAGTAGAGATCTGGCTATCCTGGCTTAACAGGTCCAGACAATGGTCAATTTCTGGCCACTACTCGGACTTTAGTGGGCTAAAAAATCTTTACTTTGCTTTGCTTGTCCATTCATTCCACTCATTGCTGTTGCAGTTACCTTAGACACTTTTCAATACTATTTTGAACCTTGAAGGAAAAACTACATCTCTTCATTCTAGCCATGCTGCCTGGCCTCCCAGATACTTAAGGATGGCTCTTCATTGAACAAACATGTTTTCAGGTGTGCTACATGCAAGAAGTTGAGAATAAGAATACTTCTATGCTACTGCCAATAACTAACATTTCTTATCCATGTAATGTGCTAGAGTATGTGCTCAGCATTGTGGAAGCCCATCAACCAACACTACTAGGAGAAAACAAGAACTCATACAAAGTTGAGTTTAATTAGCTTGATGCAGCAAAAGACAGCATATGTCTGAGGATGTTTCCAAAAGAGTGACCTGCGAGGGGCTTGAAATGAAATTTGGACTTAAGGCTGAGTGATTTTAAGGTGGCATCAGAGAAGCAGGAGCTTGTTTTGGAATGGATGCTGTCACGAAGAAAGGACAGTTCGGAATTGGATATCTTGATAATCTTTGTTCTAGAGACAGGAAGAACAGAGAGGAAGTGGGCATAATGTTTGTAAGAAAGCAGCAATCACTCAGAATAAGGAACTGTTAGTCATTTTGCAGCAGTGGTGTGATACACAGTATGGTCTATTAGAAATTTTGTAATGATGGGCTGGGCGTGGTGGCTCACACCTGTAATCCCAGCACTTTGGGAGGCCGAGGCAGGTGGATCACAAGGTCAGGAGATCGAGACCATCCTGGCTAACACAGTGAAACCCCATCTCTACTGGAAAAACAAAACAAAACAAAACAAAACTAGCTGGGCATGGTGGCGGGCACCTGTAGTCCCAGCTACTCAGGAGGCTGAGGCAGGAGAATGGTGTGAACCCAGGAGGCGGAGTTTGCAGTGAGCTGAGATTGCACCACTGCACTCCAGCCTGGGTGACAGAGCAAGACTCCATCTCAAAAAAAAAAAAAAAAAAAAAAAAATATTGTATTGATGTTCTGCTATAAATACTGCAGTCTGGTTACTAACAGTATTCAATTTTACTCTCTCAGTATATTTTCTCACTTAAATGTTATAACAATCCACTGTGACAATAGTATAATTATCTGGATTTTACAGTTAAGAAAATAGGCATACAGAGTTTACATAACTTAAATAAAATCACCCAGCTATTAACCGGTAGAGCCAAAGACTGTGACCATAGATAGAACTTATGCTTTTAGAAATTTTGTTTCTTTGGCTCTCTATGACAAACATGTCACTACCCTTGCCTTGGAATTTCTTTAAGGCTAAAGAGGAAAATCAGTAAGTAAACATATCACACGCAGTGGTCAGTGAGGATTGAAGAGGTAGCCATTTGGTCTAACCTTTTCCCATAGTACCAAATATCTCCTAGTCCATAAGGAGGACCTTGACAGCAGGCACCACTGCTAAACTGAATCAAGGTAAAACATGGTTTGTCTGCTGTCGTGAAAAACGTGTCTCCTGATTGCCAGCCAGGGCTGAGCGGTGTCATACTTGATTTAGTCACTGCAATATGCTGCTAATTGACAGTTACCAGGCCCAGTTGTCAAGGGACCCAGCCTAAGCTTTTCTAGGGCAGCCAGGCACTGACCTAGAGCTTCCTGTTATTTCTGATGTCATCCTTCAGAAACTGCCTTAGACCCGAAATTGTAATGCCATTTTGCCTCTCTAAGATTTCAATTCCTCATTGGAATAAAGATAACTTGCACCATCTCTTTTTAGTGCTACAATTCTATAACTCTTACTCCACTAATTCGGACCAACAGATGATCTCATAAACCTTCTCTTATTAAATAAAACATTAGGAATAGATTCATTTTTGAATTACTAAAGCTATGTTCAGTACAAGAGAATGGTCATAGAAGGAGTAGATTTCAAACCAAGAGTTCACTGAAAATAATCTTTTTTATGTGTTCCTGCCATTAGGCTCTACCATTAGCTCTTATAATGTTTGTGATATATCCTGTATAGTTGGATTATTGCAGGATGGTAAATTTTTTGTTGGGTAATTTCCATTTTAGTATTCATTTATGCTGTCTCTTAGTTTATAACATACCTTATATTTGAAATTAGAAATCTTTTAAATAATGAGTTTGGATTTACTAAGTTATCCTTGACCTTCCTCCACTTTTCTAAAGTTGTGAGGATCTAGCATATTTTAAAATCAGTGAAGATGTTATGAAGGTGAGTCAAGCATGCATTTGGGGTGTAGATAAAATGAACTTTAAGAGATTTTTGAACTTTAAGATTCCATTGCTGGCTGAAATGGAAAAGTTGAAAGGCCGTATTGCAAACTCCACAGATACTCATTCAATAAGAGAATGAATTCTGCTTCAATGTCCTTCAGTAAGGTCAAATCACAATTTGTAACTTTAAAATATTGCTTTTAAAGCATAATTTTTATTTGTAAATTCCCAAGTAAGCCCACAGTCTTTAGGGTTCTAAGAGATGATCAGAATTAAAATTCATTTGGCTTGAAGAAAGCCTAAAAAATAGAAAAAAGCAGTATGGCCATGTAGTAATCTGGGTTTAAAGTTTTAAAACTTACTGTAATTATACCAATGGGCGTTTTTTAAAGTTCTGATTACTTAGAAAAAATATTAGCAACAGACAATATAGCATCACATGCCAGGGAACTAATGCTTTCCAAAAGGATATCTCCTCCTCCCTGATCTTCCTTGCAATGCCTTGGTGGCTAGAGTATAGCTCTAGACCGGTGGATACTCTGGTTACCTAGGATCATAATCAGAGCCTCTGGCCCTTGCAGATACAGAATCTGGAGAAATTCTAGAGACCGAGTTCATTTAGGATTTTGATTCCACTTGGAGGAGGCCTGGGGGTTCCCAGAAAAATGGTAAATAACTACCATTTGCATTGCTTTTGCTTAGTGGCAGACACTGATCTATGTGCTTTCCATATATTTATTAACTTATTTAATCCTCACCTGTGAAGTGGGTACCGTTAGTTTCATCCCCATTTTACAAATATGGAAACTGAGACACAGAAAAGATGAGCAGGTCATTCAAGCGCACAAACTTTACATTTGTTAAAGTGGAGCCAGGAGTTGAGGCCAGGCAGGCTGTCTACAGAGTCCAGGTGCTTAACTGATCTGCTGTACTGCCTCTTTCTTTAGAAGAGAAAGCTGCATAGCACATTATTGGAACAGTCAGCTCAGCATCCAGAGAATGCCCCAGACCAGCAAAGACTGATGATGATAGTGCTAAGCCTGCATCTTTAGATGTCTGATCAGTCTAGATCAGAATCAGTCGGTCTCAAGAGAGAGTGATGAGGCCGAACTGCTTGAGAGAGTCACCCATTCAATTCCTATGCAACCTCCCTGGAGGCTTTTCAGAGCCCACGTGATGTCATAAGCTAGTGATTCTCAACCCTGAATGTGTACGAGATTTACCTGGGAATCTTGCTAAAATGCGGAACCTGATTCATTAGGTCTAAGGTGGGATCTGAGAGTCTGCATTTCTAACAAGCTCAAGATGATGTCAGTGCTGACCACATATTGGGTGGCAGCATTCTAAAAAGGGCTGTGAACTCAGAGCCAAGAGACTTGGGATTCAATCTCAGCTCTAAACTTAATTAGCAGTGCGACACAGAGTAA